GCTGGGATTACAGGCACGTGCCACCATGCCCAGCTAATTTTTTGTATTTTTAGTAGAGACGGGGTTTCACCATGTTGACCAGGATGGTCTCGATCTCTTGACCTCGTGATCCACCCGCCTCGGCCTCCCAAAGTGCTGAGATTACAGGCTTGAGCCACCGCGCCTGGCCTTAAAATACCCATTTATAAAGGACACTACACTCTTAGGAGTAATGTGTTTCAGACACAGGACACAGAGCCCTCCTGTGTTTACAATTTCTTGATTTGTATTTCAGATTTTTTTGTCTCATACCCTGTAGACTTTTGCTTTCCTAAACAATACTTTGTAGGCTCCTTTGTTAAATGAGAAAGGGCTATAATGAAAGGGAAGGCACCTTCGCAAGATGCAGTCTAGGCCAAATCACTTGTAAGAAAGACTACATGAAGAAGTAGAGAATCATGGAAAAATAACCTTAAAATTACCCATGCCTTCATCCTCCGCAAACTCTGCTCCCCAGTTTGAAGGCTGCTGATCTGTACTACCTCTATCTCCTTTTCCATCCCCCTCCCTGCTCTTTCCATCCAAGACTGTTCTATCCTTTACCTTAGTCAATACTCAGAGGTCTGTGATCCTTAGTTTATTAAATCAATTGTTTTTGCTCAGACCTTGTCTTACTAAATACATCTGAAAATGTGAACACCTACCCTAGCTAAGAAGAAAAGAAAAATGAGGGAGTTAAGGGAAAAAGAGAAAGAACAGAAAACTGAAAGGAACAAAAATGAGCTATGGAACATGCCAACATATGCTGCACAGGCCTTGAAATTTGCCACATCTGTGCTCTTGTCTTTTACCTTTGTTTTTGCTTCAGCCTGGCAGTGCCTTCCCTTCCTATCCATCCATATAGCCTTCAAAGACCAGCACATCTATGAAGTGACAATATAATTGCTGTTTCTTTCACACCTCTGTTCTTGGTTTGTACTCTGATGTCTAATATTTAAATTACCATAATGCTTTTCATTATGTATTTTCTTTATAAATGCTGTCTTGAATTTGGGGGGAAAAAAACTACTGGGGTTTATAAATAGCCCTCCTTAATGTATACCATTACTATCTAATTATTCCGTTTCGTGATCATATTTATCAGTAATCTATCCAGACTACAGTTTTTATTTTTGCTCTCCTGTTCTCTCCAGGAATCAAAAAGATCAGAATCTCTTATGGACATACATCATAAAAAGTTAAAGAGTAAGGCTGCTGAAGACAAAAATAAGACTCAAGAGAGAATACCATTTGACCGTGATAAGGATCTCAAGGTTAATCGGTTTGATGAAGCACAAAAAAAAGCCCTAATAAAAAAATCTAGAGAACTAAACACCAGATTTTCACATGGCAAAGGCAATATGTTTTTATAAGTAAGTATATTTCAGTGAGGTATATTTTAATACTGATCAATGTGAACTTTTCTAAATACTGTTGTCTTTAATAATTGTGCTGAAATCTATTTCTTTTTACAATAGATTAAAAATTATATTTTTTTTTATAAGTAAACTGTGATTTTTGAAAAGTCAGCCTTGTGGGTTGAAAAATATGGCTTGCTAGAAAAAAATAGCCTTTCCCTCATAATAACCTAATAAGGATATTGCTATTAAAAATGCTAAAATAAAAATTCAGCTTGTAAGAAAATAGCAAAGAAAGTTGTGGATTGATGCTTGAGTAAATATGCATGCTTTATTAAAGATGAAGAAAGGAGGCTTGCTGGTAGTTTGTATGTTAAACAAAATCCCAACTAGAAAATGTGTATTGCTTAGAAAGGTCCCCTATAAGTTAAGGTTCAAAACTATTCCAATATTCATCCATAGCCCAATCTGACAAGGGTTCAGAATAGTGATTAAGAAGTTACATAGCCGGGCGCGGTGGCTCAAGCCTGTAATCCCAGCACTTTGGGAGGCTGAGGCGGGTGGATCACGAGGTCAAGAGATCGAGACCATCCTGGTCAACATGGTGAAACCCCGTCTCTACCAAAAATACTAAAAATTAGCTGGGCATGGTGGCACGTGCCTGTAATCCCAGCTACTCAGGAGGCTGAGGCAGGAGAATTGCCTGACCCCAGGAGGCGGAGGTTGCGGTGAGCCGAGATCGCGCCATTGCACTCCAGCCTGGGTAACGAGAGCGAAACTCCGTCTCAAAAAAAAAAAAAGAAGTTACATAAAGCTGGGTACAGTGGCTCACGCCTGTAATCCCAACACTTTGGGAGACCGATGTGGTAGGATCACTTGAGCCCAGTAGTTTGAGATCAGCCTGCTTAAGATGGTGAGACCCCATATCTACCAAAAAAAAAAAAAAAAAAAAAAAAAAACTAGCCAGGTGCAATGTAGCACACCTGTAGTCCCAGCTACTCAGGAGGCAAAGGCAGGACGATCCCTTGAGCCCAGGAATTTGAGGCAGCAGTGAGCTGTGATTGTGCCATTCTACTCTCTAGCCTGGGCAACAAAGTGAGACCTTATCTCTTTCAAAGAAAAAAAAGAGGCTAGGCACAATGGCTCATGCCTGTAATCCTAGCACTTTTGCACTTTGAGAGGCCAAGGCAGGTGGGTCACCTGAGGTTGGGAGAGCAGCCTGACCAACATGGTGAAACTCTGTCTCTACCAAAAATAAAGATAATAAAAATAAAAATTAACTGGGTGTGGTGGCACACCCCTGCAATCCCAGATACTCAGGAGGCTGAGGCAGGAGAATTGCTTGAACCCCGGGAGGCAGAGGTTACAGTGAGCCAAGATCAAGCCACTGCACTCTATCCTGGGCAACAAGAGCAAGAGACTCCATCTCAAAAAAGAAAGAAAAGAAAAAGAAGAAAAGAAATTACATAAAAGCTGAGGTTGCTTCTTAAAATCTTTATGATTTTAATTGTATAAAGCCTATATCAATATTCAAATTGGATTTTTGAGGAAAATACAGTTAAATTTAGAAATATTTCCAACTTACTGAGTTTTCTTATTTTTACCTCAGGGGGATTTCCCTGTGCAATGAAGAAAAGTTGAAGAATTTTCTTTATCCATCTTTGTTTTTGGCTTCTTAAGATTAGAGATTACTTTAGTCTTAAAAACCACACAAATTTGCCTTGTTCTGTGTGTCCTTTTAAGGTCATGTGGAAACATAAAAACTAATGTTTCTTTTGTAGAACAGAATATTCTATGTGCCTTTAGCTTCTATGGAAGTATGGGCTTTTCTTCAAATAATTATTTTAAGAGGCTTCCATTCCCCCTGATTTTCATGGTATCTCACAAGTACCCTCTAAGGTCTAATCAGGACTGACCGCCGAATCTCTACCACAGCCTGGATCTCCTCATCAAATACACCTAAGTTCCAGAGTGAGTGTGTCAAGTCCTTCCTGTAAACACATAACTTTGAAAGTGGTTCTTTTTTCCCTTTAAACTGCAACCAGTGAATACAAATTTACTTGAAAACAGAGGGTATGGATTTTGTCTGTTTTATAATCAGTTTGCTTGTTTTAGCACTCAGGGCTTTTTATTTGCTGTTTCATTTCTTGAATTGTTTTTAAGTCAGAAAGATCTCTGGGTTATCTCATGTGCTAAGGAAAAATGATTTTGGGTTTTCCAACTTTAGTAGTTAGTATTTCTAGGGGAGGCAATCAGGACAAGTATGCCATTAACTGTTAGCAGTGTGAAATCTGCAAGACTCAGTCTCTATGATCTCAACCAAAGCTTTCTGAGTCCTGGAACTTTGCTTTGGGATTATCTCACTTTACCCATTTATATACTGTACTCAACAGTTTGTAGCTAATTTACGGGGATCGTATCTTTTATATCGATTATGAATAGAAAAAAATTAATTCCTGAATACAAAAATGGAAATGGAAAACTTATCATTATAACCCCCCTAATTGGGAGTATTATAAGTTTGTGATGCTTTAAGCATTGCCTCTAAAAATAATACATTTATAAGATGAGAAGTTCTATTTAAAGTATTAAACTATTGTTAAATAAATGCCAATTCTGTAAGTTATATTTTCTTGCTTAATCCCAGTTGTTCCACTGGTATTCTAGTTTTGATGAGACACAAATTTTCAATGGAAAAAGATTCTGATTCCCAGTTCATGTAAGCTTCATGAAAATTGAGTAAACTATATGATGGTACAAATTATTCTTCCTCTAATAATAGCAGTACAATATATTTTTTCCATAGCATCAATGTAAACCATAGCGAACTAAAGGAGCATTGCTGTTAAAAAGATGAGTTATTCTCCTAAGCAAATTTAAAAAGTTTCTTGTCTACTCAGAATTGAACAGAGCTACCTTTTGACTAAAAATGTCATTTTTAATGAGCAATATTTTCTGAACACAAAATTTTGTACAAGAGTATCTCCATTGCATTCATTTAATTTTGTTACGATTTTTTCCCAATGAAAGGAAAAAGTATTTTCTAGCTCTTCTTCCTTATGTAAATTCTTAACATATATTTTTGAGAAATTTGTATTTTTTAAAGTAAAAGTGTTATCTTTGGAGACTTATTTTGGTTTGTTTTCCTACTTTAAAGAGAATAGGGATATTTCTGTTACGTAGTTACTGTTTTATGCCTCACCTTTGGAGTGACCATGACCTTGGCATCAAGAAGAGAAACCTCTGCTTTCCGCCTAATGCTTCCAGGAGTTACCACCTTACTGGCCTTGGAGCTAGTGCTCTTTTGTGTCAACCTGAGGGCAGTTTTAACAAAATGTAAGGCCAGTTTCAGAGATTGTTTTGCCCCATGGAGGGACTAATCCCAATTCAAAAATACTGACAACAAAAGGACAAAGTCGTTACCGCACAGGGCGGAAGGTGTTCTTTACTTCCTCCCCTCCCCACTTCCAAAGCTGCAAAAGGCCTAACCGAATCAAATCTCCTGTCCATCTGGCAGGAGACATTTTAATAAGAACTTTTTAATTTCCTACATTTCTTGGCCAATTGTCATGGGAATGTGACCTCTTTTGAAATTTAGAAATGAAGGAGAACAAAAGAGTAACACTGCTCGCTTCGGCAGCACATATACTAAAAATTGGAACGAAACAGAGATTAGCATGTCCCCTGCGCAAGGATGACGCAAATTCGTGAAGTGATCCATATTAAAAAAAAAAAAAAAAAGTAATACTACATTCATATAATAGAGTAGATACTTTTAATGTTCTTACCATTGAAGGTGCCATTTAAGTTTGTAATACTTGAAATTATATGATTTTTGTCCAGCTTTCTAAATTGTCATCTTCAATAATTTAGGTGTTTCAAATAGTAACCACATTACCGGTAAGTAAATGGTGGGGTTATTGGGTTTAGCAGGTGTGGAAGTTAAGAGGGTTGAACAAAAAAAGAGAGATGGTGGCTACATCCCTAATAAGACCGTCTTAGCAGATAAATGAAATCCTTTTTGTGTTGGGCACAACATAGTAAATTAAGTCTTGCTCTTAAAAAGGAAAAAAAGGCCAGGCGTGGTGGCTCATGCCTGTAATCCCAGCACTTTGGGAGGCCGAGGTGGGTGGATCATGAGGTCAAGAGATCGAGACCATCCTGGTAACATGGTGAAACCCCGTCTCTACTAAAAATACAAAAAATTAGCTGGGCGTGGTGGTGCGTGCCTGTAATCCCAGCTACTCAGGAGGCTGAGGCAGGAGAATTGCCTGAACCCAGGAGGCGGAGGTTGCGGTGAGCCGAGATCACGCCATTGCACTCCAGCCTGGGCAACAAGAGCTAAACTCCGTCTCAAAAAAAAAAAAAAAAAGGAAAAAAAAACCCTGATCTAAGAATTTTTAATCTGGTTTAAATGTCGCAATCACTTGACATTTAATTTATCATTTTAACACTGAAAGATTCTTTGAATTAACGACTTATTTAGAAGTGAGGTTGAGATTTGCATGGTACCAAGGCTTACCTGCTTTAGAATATATCTGTGGTTATTGTATAAATAATTTGATCCCAAAACATTATGACATTTTTTGGTTTTTATTGAGGGTAGATAATGTTAATATTAAACTACTATACTTATAGGAGGCCCTTATCACTTCTCTTTTCACTTTTTCCATGCAGTGATAGGTATTATTAGAAAAAAGTTATTTGTTGAATTACACCTAAGAGGAAGAATTAACATGATAGAAAGTGGTTAGAGATAGCCCCCAATTAACATTGACAGCCAAATCTTCTATTTCAGAGTATTGTTTTATTTTTCTTTGGCTTTTGATGCCATTGTGAGATTTAAGTCTGCAGTTTCAAAAGCTCATGCCACTTAGAAGAGGTGTTTTTTGCAGCTTAAAAACTTGTTTGTGACTGCAGTATGTGCACAGTTAAAAAGCTGCTCACTGCCCCTTTCAACCTTTTCATTTTCAGCTTTACTAAGAGACTGTTTATAGAAACAGAATTCCTTAAGTGTAATTTTTTATGTGTAAATAAAGTTTTATCTGTATCTGAGAAGTTGTAGTTTTTATTTTTGTTTTGTTTTAACATTATTAGCTTTTCTGAAGCAGGCAGTGTTAGTAGAGAATATTCTGTAAAGGTTTATTCTGGCCAACCGGGTCATTGTAGGCTATTGTAAACAACAACAACAACTTTTAACTCCAGCTCACTTGTCAGATTTTCATTATCCTAATGTAACTATACAGATATTTGTCTATTGAGAAACACAAGGCAGACAACTGGAAATGCTCTTAAGAACACGATGGCACTGTGTTACAACCAAGATTCCTGTGTTCCTCATATCACAGGACATGTAACAGTGGGTAGGATTTTTTTCTGGATTGTTTAATTATGAGGGTTTTTTTTGGTTTGGTTTGGTCTGCCTCCCAAATTGAAAGTGACCAAAAAAGATGCTTTGCATCATTAAAAGCTAAGCGTTGAATGCTAGGAATCTGAACATGTAGGGTCAAAAAGACAGCCTTTGCTTTCTCAGATAATTTCCCTATAATAAGTAGTTTTTGAGGAACTTATATATGTTTGTTAATTTATTCAATAAAAATGTATTAAATGCCTCAGTATGTGGTAGGTGCTAAGAACACAATGGTGAACCAGGTAGGCATAGTCCTCCTCCCTGCGAGAAGATACTGTGCTGGTCACTTACATGGTATTCACAGATAAGTAAAGCAGATTCCTTGATTCGTGATTTTATATTCTAGGGGGAGAGCAGAAAAAGATCTGAGTAAAAAAGATCAAGTAATTGCACATTGTTGATAGGTGTTAGAAAGAAAACAGGGTAGTGAGAGACTAGAACAAGTAGTTGAGAATGGGAATTCTCTTTAGTTCCGGTAATAAGAAGTCTCTGAAGATGTGTCATTTAAGCTGAAACTTAAAAAATAAAAAGAAGCTAACAGTGTCAAAAGTGACTGATCACATATGCAAATGCCCTGAAGCAGTAATTCTTTGGTGTTTGAAGAATTACACCAGTGTGGCTGGTATATTGTGAGAAATATGATGGCTCAGGGTTGGGTCTTGTTACTGATACTATGAAGCCTATTCTTCCCAGTGGAGAATATTTTTTTTGAGACAGAGTCTCGCTCTGTTGCCCGGACTGGAGTGTAATGGCACAATCTCGGCTCACTACAGCTTCTGCCTTCCAGGTTCAAGTGATTCTCCTGCCTCAGCTTCCTGAAAGCTGAGATTACAGGTGCCTGCCAATATACCTGACTATTTTCTGTATTTTTAGTGGAGACAGGGTTGCACCATGTTGGCCAGGCAATTCTTGAACTCCTGACCTCAGATGATCCAACTGCCTTGGCCTCCCAAAGTGCTGGGATTACAGGCGTGAGCCACTGCACCCAGCCTCCAATGGAGAATACTCCTTAACCAAGTTATAAACATCACATTGGAATAGGCCAGATGGTTCTTACACCAAAGGTCTACCCTGCTGGCCTTTCAGAATTCCCCAAATATGTCTGAATTCACTCTTAGGCCCTTGCTCTGCAAACACCCTGTATGTGAGAACATTAATACATTGAACTGAACATTAAACCTATACTTTTTCAACAAAAGCATAAATATTTAAGAATAGCTGTTTTTTTCAGAAGTTGTAAATTACTTGTTTCCTCCTGGGCCTAATTATTGAGGGTTATTTACATTCTTTTTAAGAACTGGCCGGGCGCGGTGGCTCAAGCCTGTAATCCCAGCACTTTGGGAGGCCAAGGTGGGTGGATCACGAGGTCAAGAGATCGAGACCATCCTGGTCAACATGGTGAAACCCTGTCTCTACTAAAAACACAAAAAATTAGCTGGGCATGGTGGCATGTGCCTGTAATCCCAGCTACTCGAGGCTGAGGCAGGAGAATTGCCTGAACCCAGGAGGCGGAGGTTGTGGTGAGCCGAGATCGTGCCATTGCACTCCAGCCTGGGTAACAAGAGCGAAACTCCGTCTCAGAAAAAAAAAAAAAAAGAACTGAATAGCACCAGATGAATTCAACAATTATTAGTCAAGTCTTTAGAATTCTGGACATAGTAGTATGTTTTTACTTAGGGACTGAAAAATACAGTAGATGAGTCTGTCTCTTAATTTGTAATCCTTTAACCATTTCTATCAGAATCACCTAGGAGTTCACTTAAATGCAAATCTCCAGTCCCACACCTACTAAATAGGAATCTTTGGGGTTATGCTTTTTTTTTTCAGAGATTGTTTTGCCCCATGTTTAACAGTAGGTAAAAGAATGTTAAAAAGAAACAAAAGGCCAGGCACAGTGGCTCATATCTGTAATCCCAGCACTTCAAGAGGCCAAGGCAGGAGAATCACTTGAGAGCCAGGAGTTCAAGACCAACCTGGGCAACATGGCAAGACCCTGTCTCTACAAAAAAATAATAATCATAATAATTTAAAAATTAGCTGGGCATGGTGGCATGCATCTGTAGTCCCAGCTACTCAGGAAGCTGAGGCAGGAGGATCACTTGAGCCCAAGAATTCAAGGCTACAGTGAGGTATGAATGTGCCACTGCACTCTAACCAGGGAAATAGAGAGAGACCCTGTCTCTAAAAAAGAAAAATAAAAAAGCAACAAAGTCATGCAGAACTAGGTATGAAAGACAAGTAATAAAAGCTACAAATAAAAGCTGCATCATTGTTTTGAGATCTGGATAAATTTCAAGAACCCATTCAAGAATATTGAAGCATTTTAAAGTTCATTTTCATACCTCTGATTACTTACCACTGTCCTATCCTTTATAGAGCTTCTATTTTCTTTATGATGGGGCAATGTTGGCCAAACAGGCTATATGATAAGGGATTTACTACTAGTTTTATCTTCATACAATCAGAGCTCTGAGATGAAAATCAACTTGTTCCTTTTTAATCACTGGGTGCAAAAGAACAAATGAAGTTGCTTATGTATATAATGATGATTTTTGTCTTTCTAGGTGATGGCTGAAAGCAACACATTTTGCTCAACTAAGGATAAATAATACTATAATACCTAACTCACACTACACACTTAACAAAAGCAATTAATCATCAACCTAAGATTGCTACTTTTTATAACAGGTACAGATACAATTTTTAATATTGACCAGCAAATAAATATAGAAATTGTGATCATTCTTCAGTCTTCATTTTAACTGAATTTAAATTTGTGTTTTTCCCCAACAGCCTTGTATATTGGTTAATAAAACTGTCAGATTTGAAAACAGATTCTGAAATTTTAAAATGTTTGCAGTCAAATGACAGTTTATCAATAAAGATTTAAAACTATCTCTTACCCTGTCACTTTGTAAGATGTTAATCAATCCATTATACTGTGTTGCCTGTAAGAAAATGATATGAAAAGATGGCTTCAGAGTATTTCCTTCTACCAGCAAATCATAAAGAGCTTTTAAAATCACATTTATAATCTTTCCAGTGAGCATATATGAACACACAGTGGGGCTGCATCTTTATTGAGTATTTACCAGAACTATGTAATACCTAGGCTTAGGCAAATGGAAGGTAATGATTTTTTTTTTTTTTTTTTTTTTTTTTCTTGAGACGGAGTTTCGCTCTTGTTACCCAGGCTGGAGTGCAATGGCACGATCTCGGCTCACTGCAACCTCCGCCTCCTGGGTTTAGGCAATTCTCCTGCCTCAGCCTCCCAAGTAGTGGGGACTACAGGCACGCGCCACCATGCCCAGCTAATT